ATTAATATGTAATAAAAATTTATTTAATTTACGATCATAAACTCTCCAGTTTGGCTAAAAAAGAGACTATATATAGTCTTGCGTAATACTTCCTTTGTCTTAAAATTTTCTTCCCAGATATTATTTATACGGTCAAATTTTAATGACTTTCTTTATTTATTTTTGTTAGTTATTTGATAAAATAATATAGTCATACCACATCTTGTTTTGTGGAGTAAAACTTTTAATGTAGTTTTTAATTATATAAATATTATTGTTAAATTTTTTACATCTATAATCGAATAAATTGAATTACTCCCTTTGTCCTAAAACTTTCTTCCCACTTCCTCTTTTTCTTCGTCCTAAAACTACCTTCCCGTTAGAAAAAAAAAGATGACAAATGACATTAATACCCTCATGTATTTACATCAATTATCTTCTAACTCTATATTTTGAATGATTGTAAAAAAAATTTCGATAAATCTTTTTTAAGGAGGGTAAAATTTGAAGTCAAAGCCAAAATTTAAAAATGGGGAAAAGTCAAACTGAGAAGAAAGAATTAGGACGGATGGAGTAATAATAAAGAAGGTCAAATCTCGTAAACTAAAAGGAAGAATACTTTAGAGAGGATTTGTTTATACGTTTTTCAACTTGATACAAATATCCTGAAAAGCGGACAAGATATCGATCTGGACGATCAAGAGGGTCAAAAGTTAACCGTTGAACCAGTCAAACTTGGGTCAACAACTCGGAGTATTTGTTCATACGCTTTTTAGCCTAACAAAAATGTTCAAAAAGCGAACTAGACATCGATCCGAATGATCAAGTTGGTCAAGGGTTAACCGCTTGAACCGGTCACATATGGGTCAACGAATCGGTCAACAATCAATAGTACTCCCTCCGCCCCCTTGTATTTGTCCACATTTGACTTTTGGAACTGTTCATCTAAGCACTTTGACTCATCAAATTCTCTCAATGTGTAAGCCTAAATATAGTCATGTGTGATCTTGTTTGATTTGTCTTAACATATAGATTATTAATATATAATTTTTATAATTTTTTAATATACAAATTACAAGATAAAATGGATTAAAGAAGTGCATTGGATGGTGTGTAAAAATGAAAGTGGACAAATACAGGGGGACGGAGGGAGTATAATATTAGATTTTCCATTTTTCCATTAGATTTTGATGCATTTTATTGCTCCGTACCAAGATTTGTTTAGATTATATTCTTACAATCCATAGATTATTCCAAAATTAATAATTGACTATATATAGACTAAAATAATCAATCATTAAAAAAATCAAATGAATATTATTTTCCAAAAAAATCTATAGTCACATGCAATAAATTTCATAAAAAATTATTTTTGAAAAAAAACTGCATTTATTTTACAGCTTAACTTTCTCGAAAATGTCAAAACATTTATTTTCACATTTATGAAAACATTATTTTTAATTACATGCCCGCTATAAAATAATTATAATATTTATTTTACCTCATTCCTCAGTATAAACTAAATTAATTGATGAATAAATTTCCTTTAAAACTATTAAACAAATGTTAATAATTATACTTTTTATTACATTCATAAAGTTCTCTCTTCGAATCTTATTTACATTGTCTTAAATAGTATTTTATAAGAAAATACATGACTAATAAAATATGAAATTTTCATAATTTGTCTCATATAATAACTAAAAGATCTAGTGGATGTTTCTTTGTGTAGGTGTTTATTATCTTATTGATTAGACACAATTTTTAACTTTTAAAATACTTATAAGTTAAAAATTCTTTCGTGTAGATAAAATGACTTAAATGATATATAAGTCATTTGAGAATATTAATAATAGGTGAGAGATAGTTTGGTAAGTAATCTGGTCAAAAGAGAGAAACGAAAAAACTAGCTTAAAAATAAGTAAGAACTACTTACTTTTTTTGGGTTATAAACAACTTATAAGTACATAGAAACAGATCATTTGCTGACTTATAAGTTAAAAATAACGTATAAAGAGTTTTGAGCCGTTTATAAGCACAAAGAAATATCTAGCTAGTCTCTTACTCCATAAAAGATTAAGAAATCATTCTTTTATTAAATGGCATGTAACGTGTCATTTAAAAAGGTTTACATGTACTGCCCACTTGTCAAACTCTCATGTATTGAGTCTGAATTACTCCCTCCGTTCCAAAATGATTTACATAGTTTAATACTTAAAAATTGCGAGATTTTTTTGTTTATTTGTATGTTTTCATTGACTGTTTGATAAAATAAAATATTCTTGTCACATCTTGCTTTGTAACATTTTTTATGTAATTTTTAAATATGTAAACTTTATTTTTTTATTTATATACCAATCTTTAAATAAAATAAATTAAAAAACTTGAAATTTTACTTTATTTTATGTAAATGGTAAATGATTTAGGGACGAAGGGAGTATTATATTAAATGATTTTTGTTTCTGTTAGTTACTTATCTTTTTTTTGGCTAAAATACATAATTGATCTTTCAGATTATTATCTCATTTATGATATGTCCTTCAATTTTGAAAATTTCACCAATAGTGTTCTTCTTCTTAGAATGTATTAGGGGTTTATTGTTGTTGTTAGAAAGTAAAGTTTGATGATTCTCAAGAATTCAGATGGGCTTCTGCACAGTGAGCCAAAGAATGGGCCAATAGCCACACTTTGGTCACACCATGATCAAACTAAAGACGACCAAAGAACAACATCAAGAGAGAGGACATTTAATAAATAAATATTAAATAAATAAATATTATTAAAATTTGACATGTCAAAACTAGATGTTAGAATAAGCAGAGATATTTTAAATTTATAGCATAACTAAATATGGTCAAAGTTTATAAAATTGACCACAAAATTAAATCGTTAAATTTTTTTCGTGCATAGTACTCCGTATAATTTACTCCGTATAAAATGCACACAACTAACATTACTCCCTCTGTCCATTTTTCTTCTAATTTAATTTTTTACGATCTCTAATTTACCACTTTAATCATTAATATCTCTATTGATGTATAGAGATACGAAATATATTATAAAAATTTGATTTTTCAAAACTATATTTAAAAAACATATTAATATTAGATTTATACCACAATTTATTATATTTTTTTCCATAATTTACTGTAAAATTTTTAAAAAATTGACCACAGAAAGTCAAAAGAGTGAAAAAAACAGAGTGGACGAAGGGAATATTTTAATGCATTCCCAAATCTGGTACAAAATGACTAATTATGGTGCAACATTTTTAAAAATTTAAGGGGCATTAGTGTAATTTTTAAGTTCAGTGGCAATCAGTGCGATTTCTGAAAAGTTTAGGGTAAATGACGCAAAAAACTCCAACGATATGTAACTGGTAGCGCTAATTACGTAGTATGTTCTTATTTGGTTAATAATCCTACTCTCTTTACTTTATATACTCTCTGCGATCTTTTCTAACTTTGCAGTTTGAGCTGAGGATCTATGTAGAAATAGTTCTCTACTTTCGAGTTGGGACAAGCTAAGGTCTCCGTACGCACACCTTTCCCAGACTCTACTCTCATGGGACAAAACACTGAGTTAGTTGTTATTATTGTTGTTCTAATGCTACTCCCCGTGTTTTTTTCAAAATGGTTCTTATGTTGATCGACTAATGAGAGAAATAATTATAGTTGATTTTTTAATTTTATCCATGATGTGATAGGTAAAAGTAAGATGTGATGAATAAATTATTACGAATAGTTAAAATGTAGGAAGTGATAGATAGAGTAAGAATTAGAAAAAGTAAAAGTGATTTTTTTAATTGAAAATAAAGTACTTTGATGAAAGAGAAAAAAATAAAAGAGAAAATATTTTCCATAAGAGAGAGTAAAAAAATTGATATTTTAAAAATACGTTTCAATTGGAATATATTGATATTATATTTATATATATCATAATACAATGTACTCCTTCTGTCCCGCAAAAAAAATTCTCTTTCTTTTTTCATTCGTCCCAAAAAACACTTCCATTTTCTTTTTAAAAAGTCATTTTTATCCCTACTAATTCTTAATCTACCTATTACATCACGCTTTTTTTTCTCTATTAATCTATCCATCTCATCCTATTTTATCCATCACATCAAGGGGCATTTATGGAAAGACAACACCAAAATACACTATCCTTAAATCCTCAAAAAGTCAAAACGGAAACTTTTTTAAGGGACGGAGGGAGTTTTTTTTCCATATATCGAAGACAAAATTTACAAACGTTGACCAAGAAAACCCTAACGGGAAGAACATTTCTGGACGGAAGGAGTACATTTTACTTTGGTGAATAATGAAAATCCCCACGTCCCATATCTTTGTTCATGTTTGAATTTTCAAGTTTTCCAATGCAACAATTTAACATACAATATTTTTTATTTGTATATATTTATAGATTTTAAAATATGATACTTCAAACTCCGTGTCGAAATTTATTTTATAATTAAATACGAGTGTGTTTTTAGCATAGTTCATGATAAAAGTAAAGAAAAATTGACCCAAGAAACTAAAATGAGAAGAAAAATAAAAAGAGACGGTGGGAGAAATTAAAATAAAAGGGCCGGCAATAATATACTCCATTCGTTCTTAAAAAGAGTCTCACTTTTGACCAAGTGGTAAAATAAGAAAATGTTAAACTGTAGTTAACTTTCAATTTTGTCCTTGATGTGATGAGTAAAAATAAAATATGATGGATAAATTATAAGAGAAAAAGTATGATGCGATAAGTATGGTAAGAAAGAATAGGGATAAAAAGGGTTTTTTAATAGAAAGTGGAAGTGTTTTGTTGGAAGTAGAAAACACGAAAGAAGAAGTGTTTTTGAGGACCGAGGGAGTAAGCAACTCCGTTTTGGTTTTTTCTTCGAGGACTAAAATGGCAATTCACCCTCCTCGAAAATCACCACGAAAGCCTTTGGGACAGGCACAAAACTGCAGATGTAGTCTAAATGATGGAAGGGGCAATTCGGTAAAGTCACAGGGACAGAAACCCTTTGCCGTAAATGGCAAGAAATGGCCACTCAAAGCTCTTTAATTTCGAAGCCCCATAATATCACGTAGAGGTTCATATCTGGTAAAATTCCATTTCCATGTCATTTTCAACGCCAGCTCTCTAATTCATTTCCCATATTTTATTAAATTTAAAAGTACAATTTTTTTTTTTTTAAAAAAAAGAATCAAGAAAAACTGATATAAAATCTGGGTTTTCTTTTTCATATACTAGCTAATAGATCGAGGAGAAATAATCAATCAGCTGGCATATCATGGCTGCTAGGGCTTGTTTGGTCTTTCATCAGTTCTGAATTGGAGTTGCCACAAACTCAGGTCTGTTATGTGTGAGTCTATGGGCATCACTTGTGTCTTATTTCTTTCCTTCCAAACAAACCCTATCAGAAAGTGTACATATATTATATAAATTTTTTATATAAGTGAATTTTTTTATAGCAAATCCAAGAACTTGTGGTTATATGATTCCCAGATTTTGTGTTCTTCGTGGGCGCATTTGCAGGGAAAAAGAGTATTTTTTTAATATATAAAAAAGTGATCTTTATACATTTTTCTCTACCGTATATATAAGAAAGTTGCAGATCTATCCATAATGTTCTTGGTGTGTTCTTTTAAAAAAAACACTTTTTGTTTTTTTTAAAAGTATATGTGTGTTTACTTTTGTAAATCTTGAAATCCATTCAAGAAAATTAACATTATTTTTGTTTCATGTTTTGTATTTTATTTTATTTTTCGAAATTTAAATTTTCAAAATTGGGGTTTTGATATATGCAACCTGAGAAAATAAAAATCCTTCCTTTGACCATTATTTCATCTTCTTTACTTTCTTGGCTGCTGGATCTATAAAAACAACATAAAAATTTGCTGCTTTACATTTTCATGAGATCTGATACACTCTGATACATTCAAGAAGTTTACTTGTACTACGTCCCACATATATTTTCCCAAGTTAATTATTTTATTATATGAAAGAAATTAAAACCCAATATTTCAGCTTTTAATTAAAAAAGAAAATATACTCCAAAATAAATTAGAAAGACTTAGAATATGTTCTGATCTGTAAGCATGATGCAAAATCAATACAATTTGATTTCTGCACACTAGTTCTCAATTATTTCACTTTTTACAATCTCTAACATAATATTTTCACTATTAATATCTTTAATTATATTTAGTCATAATGATAAAACTTGCTTTCTCTTGTCTATCTGGGTGAGAAGAAGAAAAAAGTGTAGTAAAATGAACTGGCTATTAATTATACCAATATAGTAAAATAATATGACTAAGCTCATTTAACTAATGAAAGGGTTCATTTTTTATTTTTGAATAATGAAAGAATTAATTAATGAAAGGGTTTTTTTTTTGTTTTTTGAAGGAGTATATTGAAAGAGATAGAATGGGGAGAGGGAAAATAGAGATAAAGAGAATAGAGAACAACACAAATAGGCAAGTGACATTCTGCAAGAGGAGAAATGGGCTTCTCAAGAAAGCTTATGAGCTCTCTGTCCTTTGCGATGCTGAGATTGCTCTCATCGTCTTCTCCAGCCGCGGCCGTGTCTACGAGTACTCCAACAACAAGTAATTTAATTCATTAATTAATTATTTTATTCTTTGATTTAATTTATATATATATGTGTGTGTGCGTGCGCAATTATACATACAACTCATCATCATATTAATTAGTACCTAGCTAGTGATGTACGTAATTGAGAGTTTATTACTCTCTCCGTCTGGAAATGATCTTCTCATTTGACTTTTCTTGGTTAAAGTTTGTAAATTTTGATCTCGGTACATGAAAAGAGTACATAATATTTTAATATAAATGTAATACCAATAGTTTCCTTATGAAACGTAACGCAATTTTGAAATATTAAATAATTTTTCATAAAATATATCTATGTATTAATATAGATATTAACAGTCAAAGTGTTACATTGGAAATTGTGAAAAAGTCGAATGAGAAGATTTCGGGCCGAGGGAGTATGATTTATCTTGTCTTAGGTTTTCTTAGGTATGCATTAGTGCTTTGTTATGCTCATTGTCAATGGATAGATGGTGTGCGAGTAATAATTTGAGTTGATTTAGGGTCTCTTTGGGAATATCATTTTCGATTAACATTAGTGCTTTGAAAACGCTAATGCTAAATGCTACTCGTAAATACTTTTTTCAAAATGCTAACATTAATCTTTAATGCTATTCTCAAACAGACCCTTAGATGAGCTTCAATTTAGATATACTTACATAGTACGGTAATCCCTTCGTCCCAAAAACCCCCTTCAATTCCCCTTTCTTTATTTTTCTTGTCCCACAAAATTCTTTCCTTTTCTAATAAAAAACCACTCTTAACCCTACCATTAATGACTTACCCGTCGCATCCTACTTTTACCCGTTACATCAAGAGTATTTTTAGAAAATGAACACAAAAATATGTCTCAATTAAATACTCTAGGAATCAAAATGAGAACATCTCTATGAGAAGCAAATGGCACAACAAGTACTAGGTAAGTAATAGGTATGACAAAAGACAATAATACTCCTACAACATATCAGAACTGCTGATGATGAGTTACTTCATTCTGCAATGACTACTAGCTAGCTGCTAGCTACTACTGATTCTATACCATTTTAGTGCTTGAGACCTAATAAGCTTCTATTTATATGCAAAGATATATAGGGTCATTATAATGATGATGAGGAGGTTTAATTTATATATACTTTATAATTATTAATCATTATGATTATTCTTAATTAATTGATTGATGACATTGCATGCATGCTTGAGTTTTCCATCTATCTTTCACTTCGAGAAGATTTCTCACTAAACTTAGGAATTGCACATCATTCTTGTCATTCTTCAACTCCCACCATCTCACTTTCATCAATTTAGTATTAATTCCCTTGTCACTTTTTTTTGCCTCTTTTTTCATCTTTCCATTAATGATATACTCCCTTCATCCCACTATCTTTGTCCACTTACCTTTTGGCACATCATTCAATGCACTTCTTTAATCCATTTTATCTTGTAATTTGTATATTAAAAAATTATAGAAATTATATATTAATAATCTACTCCCTCCGTCCCCCTGTATTTGTCCACATTTGACTTTTGGAACTGTTCATCTAAGCACTTTGACTCATCAAATTCTCTCAAAGCCTAAATATAGTCATGTGTGATATTGTTTGATTTGTCTTAACATATAGATTATTAATATATAATTTTTATAATTTTTTAATATACAAATTACAAGATAAAATGGATTAAAGAAGTGCATTGAATGATGTGCCAAAAGGTAAGTGGACAAATACAGAGGGACAGATGGAGTATATGTTAAGACAAATCAAACAAGATCACACATGACTATATTTAGGCTTACGCATTGAGAGAATTTGATGAGTCAAAGTGCTTAGATGAACAGTTCCAAAAGTCAAAAGTGGACAAAGACAGTGGGACGGAGGTAGTATTTAAGGGTCATGCGGTTTTTTTTATATTATTGTCATCCTATATAAAATTAAGCAAAATTATTACTCCCTCCGGTCCTCAAGACCCTTCATGTTTGAAAAAAGTCGCGCCTTAAAAATGTGTAATTTTGGTGTTATTTTTTAATTTTATCTTTATTTTATAATTGGCTAGAATGTGATGTGTAGGATAGATGAGTTAAAGCTATCTAAATGTTTTCGGAACAGATGAAAAATTTGTCTAATTTAATCAGAAAAATTCTTATATATATATATATGTATATGTGTATATATATATATATATATATATATATATATATATATATGATTGAGAGATAGACAGAAGAAGCGAGTGTATGTGTCAGGCAGGCCATAAATTTATTTTTTTTTCTCATAGGATCAAAAGTTTTGTTGCACAAATAAGAGCACACCAGACTAAACCCTTTGCATGGTGTAATCAATGCTCATTTTCACCCATATATGTTAATCCATCTTGTCTCATGTTCTACAAACTCCATTTCAATTTCAGTGACATCACCCCGCTCCAATTACTCCCTATGTCCTAAAATTAAAGAGTATCCCACATCGGAAAAGTGTTAGGAAAATAATGTGTATATAAGCTCTTGAACTGAACTAAGTAATCGATTGGATTCAATCTTTTAATGTGATTCAGCCCAAGTGTCTTATAGCCCAATTGTCTTTTAAAGATCTCATATTACCGGGTCGAGTTGAACTAATTTATTTTGGTTCTTCTCTCCTTTTTTTTTCTTCCGGTGTGGGAATTGAAGCAGTTTGCACCCAACAAAAATAAGTATACCAGAGTATGCTTTGATTTATTACCTGAGTATCGTTTTATAATGAGAAAATGTTAGAGTCATAAATAAAATGATCCCAAAATACAAATAATTTTTATTTGCGAGTTTAAATTTCTACGTTTTAAATACTCACGATTATTATTTAAGCCTTCTTTTGGGGTTTCAATTGGTAATATATGTAGTAAAAATATTAGTATCATCCTTTTGGACAGACATATCAAATCATCTGAAAATAATGTGTTCATTAATTACCAAGTGGATGGGCTTTTGTTTGCTTGCTGCAACCTAAGAATTGGAAGTTCCAATGAATTTCCTTTTCTGTGTTATTACCTCTTCATTGCAACCTGCACAATATTTCTACATACAGAGTTTTAATTAGTTGAATCTTTGACCGGCCGGTCAATGCTTCATAGAAATTTGTACTCCCTTTGTTCCTTAGAAAAAAAATTGTCCACTTGCTATTTCAAAGTCAAAACTTAGTTATATAGTCCCTCTGTCCACTAAAACTTTTCAATGATAAAAAAACATGCCTTAAAAATGTGTAATTTTTTATATTATTTTTTAATTTTGTCCTAACTAAGTATTCCCTCCGTCCTAAAACTTTCTTCTCGTTGCGCAAAACGAAGAAAAATCTCAAGTTTTTTCAATCTATTTTATTTAAATATTGGTATAGAAATAAAAAATAAAACATACATATTTAAAAACTACATCAAAAATTGAGTAAAATTCTATAATTGGTCCTTTATAACAGGGGGATTTCCCTATTTAATCCTCTATTATCAAATATTACTCAAATGGTCCTTCTTTTATGGGTACCTTTCCACAAATAGTCCTTTTTTGATCTTCTATCATGTTGGTGTTAATTTGAAGGCTAAAAGTGTAATTTCACAATGATAATATATCTTTTTTGTCATACACAATTCCAAAGGCTGTTCCGTTTGCGTCGTTTGTGAATTACAGTCGCTTTTTACGACAACTATAGTCTACAAATCTGATCTTTCGTTAGAGTCCTAGCCCACAATTATAGTCATTATTTTTGTGTTATCCGCTTAACCAATATCAAAACACGTCACTAGACATAATGTTGATGTCAAATTATACTTTTAGCCTTTAAATTAAAACCAACACGACAGAAGATCAAAAAAAGGATCATTTGTGGAAAGGTACCATTAAAAAAAGGACTACGGGGGTAATATTTGATAATAGAGGACTAAATATGGAAACCCCCTGTTATAAAGGACTAATTATGGAATTTACTCTCAAAAATTCAACAAAACAAGTGGTGACAAGAATATTTTATTTTATCATATAGGCCATGAAAAAACACAAATAAATATAAATTCCCGTGAAGTTGGAATAGTGCTCTGAGAAGAAAATTTTAGGACGGAAGGAGTATTAAGATAGGATATCTTGTCTAGGATAGATGAGTCATGATTGAAAATTATTATCAAAAGTACTCATTTTTATGACGTGCTTTTTTTCGTCTTTGAAAAGTTATTAAAGAATATCTCACATCGGAACTTGAAGAGAAAATAGATCGGTATATATATAAGCTTTAGAGTTGAATTAAGCAACTGATTGAATTCAATTTTTTAATATGGTTCAGCCCAGGTGTCTTATTTCCCAATTCAGTAACCATTTTCTTATCTTAAATTTTATCAAAAGTTATGGGATAAAGATAGTAGTATATATTAGTATATGTATCGTGCACATTTGACAAATAATTTTGATGTTTAACTACTTTAACATTTTGAAAATGCTACTCTTGTATTTAATGATATCGTTCTGTTTTATCGTTTTTCAAAAGTTGATATTCCATCCATCCCTAAAATATTTTTATATTTGAGTTTTTATGGTCACAAATCTGACAATTTGACCATTAATAATTATAGTTGTATAAAAATAAATATTATAACAATTTTGATATATCAAAACTGTTTTTTACAATGAACTCAGTTATACTTGTAATAAATTTACATTATAAATATAAAAAATATTTTTAGAGCAAATTGTGGTCTAATGTTTTTAGATGTTCATCATTTTAACTATTCGTATTTGATGATTTTAATTAAATATATTTTTTAAAATTTATAAATACATATTTTAATTGTAAGAAATTTTGCGTAACTCATGATAAAAAATCAAAATTATCATTGAATTAAAAATAAAAATACTTTATACAAAAGAAAATAAGACCTGGTACATATTTTCCCATAAAAGCCATCCATATATTTTTTTTTGTTTTTTTAAATTTTTTGACTGGCCCTGTAATTATGTTTCTCCTAATTATAGAAAATCATATATATACTCTGATGCAGCATAAAGTCAACAATAGATCGATACAAGAAGGCAACTTCTGATGCTTCCAATATCTGCACCCCTCAAGAGCTCAATACCCAGGTAATTATTATATATAATTATAATTAATTATATCAACAATTAATTCAACAAATTAAATTTAAATTTAAAAAAATTATCATATAGCTAAGAAATGTTTGATTTTTTATATATTATTGATTTTGACAGAATGATTAATTGTTTTTTTATTGTATTGTTTAATTAATTAGTTCTATCAACAAGAATCAAAGAAGTTGCGCCAACAGATCCACATGCTCCAAAATTCCAATAGGTATATAATATTCTACTTCGAAATTCAAATTCCGCCTCAGTATATTCGTTTAACTTGACTTTTTTGAGTTAAATTATTCTCAATTAAATAAAAATGGTAATGCATATTACTATAAATTAAACCTATTTCATTAGAGACAATTATATATAAGACCGAGTTCCCGTCTCTTTTTCACTTGCATTCTTGTAGTGCAATATATTCGTCAAGTTTGATATGAAAAAGTCAAACTTAACGAGTACACTGTGACGAAAAGGGTATATAGTGACGAATGAACCACGTACAAATAATTAATTTTGCAGTATAATAAATAAATGAATTAATTAATAATAGATATTGTTGTAATAATAAATATAAATTATTGTAGGCATCTAGTGGGAGAAGGGTTGAGCTCTTTGAATGTGAGGGAGTTGAAGCAGCTTGAGAGCAGGCTTGAAAGAGGAATCACCAAAATTAGGTCCAAAAAGGCATGTTTTTCTTTTTTCTTTTTTAAAATTAACCTAATCAGTCATTATTATTTGAACATTATTTCAAATCATTTCTTGAACATATATTTATATATGTATGGTGCTTAATTATTGCAGCATGATCTCATTCTTGCTGAAACTGAGAATTTGCAAAAAAGGGTATGTAATTAATTAATTAAGTACATACTCCCTCCATTCCATATTAACTGTACGTCCATTATGACTTTTTTATTACAATAAAAAAATTAATGTATGTAGACATACGTTATGTCTACATTCATTCATTTCTTAATGTACCAAGAAAGTCATAATGGACAATTAATATGGAAGAGAGGTATTTAGCTAGCACTAATTTTAAGTACATAATTTAATGTCTTATATGGAGTATTTATATGTTGAAATAGGAGGTGCATCTTGAACAGGAAAATGCCTTTCTTCGTGCCAAGGTATATATATAGTACTGCAGATTTTACTTAAATAACACTAAAACATAATGACTTTTCTTAAATAGCACCACATGTGTTTTTCTTTCCAATGTAGCACTTTTAGTCATTATGCATTAGTCATTATTCAAGTAAATATTCGTCATCACTGGACATTATGGACATTATTAAGTGCTATTTAGAGAATAAAACAATTTAAGTCCTATTTAAGGAAATGACTTCAGTTTTAGTGCTATTTAGTGCAAATATTTCATATAGTACCCCTACTACTAATTAATTCTTTTGTGCCAACATTATTTTGGTTATTATTAGGTCTTTCCTTCTTAATGAAAAAGCAAGATAGAAATCACTATGAGAAAAATATCTTTTGGCTTGAATACAAATCGTTACGGTACCCAGATCCTCTCATTAGAAGTATTTAATAAGAGTACTCTTAGTCTTAGGCCTTAAATTCTCCAAACAAGAGTACTCTTAGTCTTAGTCTTAGGCCTTAAATAATTTGTAACGAGAAGATTTGGATTCTGTCATTATTTGTAATTAACCACGGAGACTTTATTACTATTCCCAATGTAGTTAAAATTATTATTCCCTTTGTCCCTTTTGCAATCTTCTCAACTGACTTTTTGTGGTCTCCAATGTAAGACTTTGATTATGAATATCTTTATTTATAGATATATATAAATATTATAAAAATGTATATTTTAAAACTATATTTCAAAATAAATTTAGTGGTATTAAATTTATATTATAATTCAATTAATTTTCCAAAATTGGTAGTTAAAGTTAAAAAAATTAACCTTAAAAGTCAATCTGGGAAGATTCAAAAGGGACGGAGTCGTAATACTTTCTCATTTTAGACTTGAAGTAAAATTGTGAACTTAAATAGATCTCCATTCCAATAAAATAATTTTATTCTCAATTAAAATCTCCTTTTTTTTACCAATTATTATTAACTTAATTAGTTAATTATCACCTCATCATATGGATGGGCACTTCAATACAAATTATACAAATTATACGACCATTATATATTACAAATATGGATGCAAATATAGATAACTGAGAATGAGAGGCTTCAGGAGCTGAGCATGATGCCTACCGGCGGCGGCGGCGGCGGGGGGCAAGACTACCAGGCCATCCAACACTACCTGGCTCGAAACATGCTGCAGATCAACGTGATGGACGATCAGGATCACTCTGTCACACATTCTTACCCTGCGCCGCCTGATCTCAAGACCAATCTCCACCTCCTCTAGCCACCGCCCTTCTACTCCGTAGGTATATTCTACTCTCTACCCCCCCCCCCCCACACACACACAAAACCTATTTTATATTTTTAAGAGATTTAAAGAAAGTATATTTTGATCTTCCGTTGATTTTCCAAAAATGTCCTTGGATGTGATGAGTAGATTAATACTCCCTCCATCCCTAAATAAATTTCCTCTTTCGTTTTTCTTTGTCCCCAAATAAATTTCTTTTTTCCCTTAAAAAAACCCTTTTACCTCTTACTTTTTCATATCCTATCTGTCACATCATACCTTTTTACTAATAATTTACATATCACATCTTACTTTTACACATCACATCAAGAGTATTTTTGGAAAGTCAACATACAAATATCTCTCCCTTAAATCCCAAAAAGTCAAAAACGGAAGTTTATTTAGAGACGAAGGGAGTAGTGAATAGATGTGATGTGATGTGTAGGTTAAGAATCAATATGGGTAAAATTGTAAAGGTGATTTTTTTATATAAATGAAAATGGTTTTTTAGGATGGAGGAAAAAGGAAAGGAAAAATGTTTTGTGAGATAGAGGGATTACATAATACTTCATTCTCTCAATATTTGTCCAGTTTTAATTTTTTGCAGTCAACTATTTTTAATGTTTGACCTATAAAAGAATAAAATATATATGGTATATTAATTAGATAGAATAATATTGTGAAAATAGTTTATAAAATAAATTTAATAAAATTATTTTTGTATCTATATCTAATACGGAGTATCATTTTTACTTAATTTGCGGTCAAAGTTTGTCGATTTTGATAAAAAATCAAAAGTTGACAAACATTCAAGGACGAGGGTAATATATACAATTTCTTGTCAAATTTTATGATGATGTTTTATTAATCACAGTATTTCGTTAGAAAACTTAATTTTGAGACTAAGTTTGAGACAAAAAGTTTCATTTAAGTTGAAATTTAAATCAGGCTTAAAAACAAGATTATTTTTATCTGAGTTGTGTTTCTACGGTTCTAATGTCCACATGTTAAATGTGGACATTTTCACGAGTTACACATGTTTTTTTTTCTTTTTTGAAATAATAAGTCCAACTCTTTCACGAGATTTATGTACTACTACGTATGGACCTAAAGCCTACATAAGAGTTTGTCTTTTTTTTTAGTTTTTTATCCAGGTTAATTAGAATTGTTACGTTAGCGTAACCATTACAATTATGTGATAACCAACACAACCAAAAGTTTGAACTTATAATAATTTGCAAGTTCAAAAAAAGGTTTTTTTTAACGTTCATATTGTCAAGGAACCAATTCAACCAAAAGCTCAAGCTTATGGTTGTGGCCCAGGATGTCTTATTTATATTCTAACACGCTCCCTCACATGCAGGCGTAGTCTTTTTTCGAGCGTTGCACGTGAACCTTTAATTTTCTTAAAATTGGGTGGCGTTGAGTTTCGAACCCGTGACTTCTTAGTCAAGAATGCTCTGATACCATGTCAAGGAACTAATTCAACCAAAAGCTCAAGCTTATGGTTGTGGCCCAGAATGTCTTATTTATATTCTAACACATATTGGTGGCAGGTGGTTGGTGTTCATCAGCATGCTTGCAGACATGCTATGGGAGGAGAAGACAAGTTAATATATAAATTAAATATTGTTGTTGTACTAATTAATGAGACTTTTGTTAATTAAACTTTGAACTATAGTGTCTTGTTTGTTTCTATGTATGCTTGTGAAGATTAAGATGTGCTCATTAACGTGACTTTAATTGTTAGCTCTTGGTTTTATTTATATATTTGAGTTGTTCGATAAATTGACACTTTGATTTAGAAAACACGATACTACTCCGTAATTTAAAGGGAAAACAAAACTAAAGTAGGAATAAAACCTTAAAAAATATACCAAAATACGAGCTCCATATTTTTATTCTTGAAATATGAATAAAAATGTATATATATACAATGTCAATTATGACTATATATTATCAAAAGATATTGTGAAATGTCCATATATAATGATATATTACCGCATTGCAAACTTCTATTTTGAGATAAAAACAATAAGCTTTTATTTTGATACTTTATCTATGTTTTATACTTATTTATGTTGATTTCTTTAAATTAAAAACATTTAACTGTTTCATTATTCTGAAGAGACGCATTCAACATTAACATTTTAGTTTTAATTATATCGTTACTGTTTTCCTAATCAGTTCTTTAGTCATTCTCTTTGAGTGGCCACAGAAGACACTAGATACCTACGATATTTAATTCGTAAAATTGATAGTTCCTACTACCCGATAACCCCACCCTCCCCAAAGCCACTCCTGATCTCAACCCATCACTCCACCCACATTTATTGCACCTCACAAATTTAGTTGACTTTAATATTAAACATTTGGATTCTAAAATCAACTAATATAAACTTGTAGGCCGGGTGCAGTTGACGCGAGTGGGGAAATAGGTTAGTGTAGGTACTAGGTGGGTGAGTTTACTAGGGGTAAGGAAGGCCAAAACTATAAATTTTATGAACAGAGCACCGTATGTGTCTCAATTGAGTCAGTGTCCGGATAGAACCTAGCTGCCTAAGTTAAGGAGCACAAAATATCTTTTTAGAAACTCCTATTCCATTCCCTCTGTTCTAAAATATTTGCTCAGTTTAATTTTTTTTGAGTTAAAGTTGACAAACTTAATCAATCATAAATTATGAACAAAAAAGTAATTATAATACCAGAAAGAAGTTTGATCATAGACAAAAGAAGCATACAAATCGACTCTAACTACTAGGCACAACCCACAAAAAAGTTCCTATGACCCAAATCTTTTAACGAATTGATATGAACACTCACAGAGTTCTTGTCACAGGATAGAGCAACTGCTTGCTTTAGCTTCGTTCCGGAGCTTCTCCTCTCTTTCTTTTGCTTCCTCGCGGAGCTTCTCGGTTTCGTTTTGTGCTCTCTCCAGACTCTCCCTTAGCTTACGAATCTCTTCGTTCGATTCCTTTTGGGCTTCTCTCGTGCTTTTCTCGGCCTGTAAACGAGCTTCTTGCTCTTTCTCCAATTGCTCCTTGAGCTTAAGTGTGGTTTCCTTCAAGTCCCTCAACTTTGTCTCCACCTGAGAGACATATACATATTGATGATAAGATTTCCAGAAACTGAGCAGTGTTAACTAAAACATAGCAAAACACCAATCACTAGCTAGTTTTGTGTCTGATGAAGGATCTTTAGCTGCACTATAAGTATTTGTTGAGGACCTTTTTGTGTAATATATTAGTCTTTTTTTAAACACCCTATCTAAAAGAAAGACTAATACTCCCTCCATCCCGGAAGTTTTTTCTTGTTTTGACTTGGCACGTGTTTTAACGTAAGGTGTAATGTGTGTTGACTTTCTGAGAATGCCTTTACTCCTATCCACCTCTTCCGTGACTAAAACACGTGTTGGGCTTTGTGGAGGCTTGTTTGTCGGCCCGGCCCAGTTGTGCGTAGCCCTAGTTTTTTCCCCTATATATAGAGGGCTTGTACTTGTAATCTGTACCACAAGTGAAATAAGAAAATCCTCCCGTTGCAGCCGTGGATTAGGGAAACCGAACCACGTTAAATTCTTGTGTGTCGTTTGTGTTCCGTTTCTCTCTTGATTCTTGCAGATTATTTGTGTGTGTTGTGTGTTTATTTCCCAACAAGTGGTATCGGAGCAAGGTTATTCAACACGAGCACAAATTGTGAGAAATTTGTCACCTAGGGTTTTTCAGATCTGTGCGTGCTGAGCCGCCGGGAGAGATATGAGATTCCAGTAGTCCAATCTGAGATTGCAGTTCAGATCGTGCCGCCGTCATCCGCTGATTCGTCCAGGTGCCGTCGTAGAGGAGTCGTCACTCAACCGGCCGTCGCTGAAGGAGAAGTGACTCTGTCGAGCAAGACTGCCGCCGGGTTGAGGAGGCGCTGCTGTCCTCAGATCTACGCCGCTAGTTCGAGGAGAATTACCACCGTCTGCGTGCAGTCAAGCCGCGTTGGGGATCCGCCGGCCGCCAGGTTGAGGAGCCGCCGTGAAGCCGCGCCGTTTCAGATCGCGCCGCCACCGTCAGATCAGATCGTCGCCGCAGGGTCTTGCCGCCGTTGCCGCGAGGATCGTTGCCGCCGTTTGCGTACAGACCGCAGCACGCAGGAGCAGCGACAGAAGGAGCCGCCGCCGTTGCCGAGGAGCCGCCGCCGCCATCGATAACAGATCCTGAACCGCCGCCCTCAGTCGTGCTGCTGGTTCGAGGAAGTCGCCGTTTCCGTCACCGTCTGGAGAAGGTGCCGCCGCTGAGGAGTTGTCGAGTTTGTCGCTGCCGTCGCCCAATATTCCAGCGGCCGTTTCTTGCGAAGAGGAAAATTGCGAAGAGGAAAAGACATGCAGTGGTCAGCTTTTCTCCATTGGTTTGGGCCGCAGTTTTTTTTGGGTGGGCTGGATATTGGGCTTATTTGGTTTGGACATATTTAATAAGTGTGGTGGGCTTGATTTTCTAACGAAATTACCAAGATCTGAAATTAGTTGTACCGGGTATCTCGTCTAGTCGTGTGATATGGCAGAAGATGGGAAGTTCCGAATTGAGAAGTTCGATGGTACAGATTTCAGTTGGTGGAAGATGCAAATTGAAGATTTGCTGGTTCAGAAAGACTTGGACGTGGTTTTAGGTGACAAGCCAGAAAAAATGTCGGATGCAGATTTGGCAAGTTTGGATCGGAAAGCTATGTCCGTGATCCGTCTCTCGTTGACCAAGAATGTTGCGTTCAACATTCTGAAGGAGAAGACAGCGAAGGGAATTATGGACGCGTTGTCTAACATGTACGAGAAGCCATCTGCAGTGAATAAAGTTTTTCTGATTAGAGAGCTGGTGAACACAAGGATGAGAGAAGGCACTTTAGTTACCGAGCATATCAACAAGTTGAATTCGATCTTAGCCAGACTTGCGTCAGTGGGCATTAAGTTCGATGATGAAGTTCAAGCTTTACTACTACTATCGTCTTTACCTGATAGTTGGTCCGGAATGGTTACAGCAGTTACCGGTTCAGTGGGACCTGATGGATTCACCTTTGATCAGATTCGAGATCTTGTTCTTGGCGAGGATGTCAGAAGAAAGAGTTCGGGGGAGTCATCTGGTGAATTGCTTCATGTTGGCAGAGGTAGAAGAAATAGCAGAGGTAGTGGGAGCAAGAACAGACAAAGGAGTCAGTCGAAGACTCGTGACAGCTCAGGTGTAACGTGCTGGAAGTGCAAGGAGGTGGGGCATTATAGGAATCAATGCCCGAATGACAAGAAAGTGAACATTGCTGAAGACTCTGCGAGTGACGAGGAGGTCGCTCTCACTTGCTGTGAGGAAAGCAATGTGGATTCCTGGGTCATGGATTCTGGTGCTTCATTTCATGCCACCCACAGCGGTGAAGCATTGCAGAATCTGGTTGTTGGGGACTTTGGAAAGGTACGACTAGCGGACTACAGTGCTCTTGAGGTGACGGGCATGGGTGACATGGTGTTGAAGACCTCAGTCGGTTTCTGGACTTTGAAGGATGTCAGAGTGGTTCCAGCCTTGAAGAAAAGTTTGATTTCTGTCAGGCAGTTGGACGAACAGGGACACGAGGTAAAGTTCAGAGATGGGCAGTGGAAGGTCGTGAAGGGAAATCTTGTCATAGCCCGTTGAAAGAAGAGAGGTTCGTTGTACATGGTCGGGTTACCATCTGAGGGAGTGACCGTCCCAGTTCAGAAGAGAAACAAAGTCCGGTTCATAGAGTCTCGTGGGCAGAATAAGGTTGTCTATGCAAGAGAGAAACCTAGAGCCACAGGTCAGACTCAGGATGAACGAGCGTGGAAAGGTTCAAGGGGGCCAGTCAGAGGTATTTGTGGCAGTGGGAGCTCAAGAGGCGCTTCAGCCAAGTTGCCTAGAAGACAGTGGGTCAGGAGAACCAGTAATCCAGCTGTTGGAACATCTCCTGAAAATTTCTTGCTGAGTATGGAGAGTGTTTGTTCTCAGGATGTTCCAGGATCCGGCAGTGTGCGTCTGTAGTGGGAGCCGGTAGGGACCGAGGACGAGTCAGGGACAGACTTTGCCGTGACTGATGTGTTGGAGCTTGGGAGAGCTTCAACGGGCCTTTCAGTTGTCTGATGATAGGGCCGCTGCAACAGGAGAGCTGAAGAAGATTACTCGATGTACAGACGATCGTGGCGGATGGCAGTTGATGTTTATCAAGCCTCCAAGTGGGAGAATGTTGGGCTTTGTGGAGGCTTGTTTGTCGGCCCGGCCCAGTTGTGCGTAGCCCTAGTTATTTCCCCTATATATAGAGGGCTTGTACTTGTAATCTGTACCACAAGTGAAATAAGAAAATCCTCCCGTTGCAGCTGTGGATTAGGGAAACCGAACCACGTTAAATTCTTGTGTGTCGTTTGTGTTCCGTTTTTCTCTTGATTCTTGCAGATTATTTGTGTGTGTTGTGTGTTTATTTCCCAACAACACGATCCGTTGATGTGTTATTTTGTCCATTATTTATCCGAAACTAAAACATGGTAAAAAAAGAGACACTTTTAGCTCCAACTTCATGGGATTCAGCCACTGTAAAGACCGGGCTCATTGATATACCATTTCAATGATCCGCTCGATAAGTTTGGCATAATAAGCTTTCTGCATTTTATCATCCCACCCTGCAGCTTGAATGGGGATGTGAAGAGCTCCTTCCTATTGACAAACACAACTAGCAGCTTAAGTATAACAAATCCAAACAACACAAGAAACAATGATTCCAAAGAGCTGCATATGTACCCTCAACTCGGAGAATATCTCATTCGTGTAAGGTTTTCCGCCATTAAGATCTGTCATTGTGTTTACAAGTCCAAAAACTTCCATCAACTGTGAATCTTTCTTTGTTTCATCTTCTGTGATGTTGTCAAAAAGCAATTTTCTGTTCCCACACATTCGGAGAACTTCCTAAAATAAAACAAAATCAAGCACTCAATATCCTAATGTCATGACACATGCATAACATAGTCGTTTTAGGACATTATACTTATAAAAACCAATAAAGTTGAAGATGCTAAAAGATTGGGATATAAAAGATATTAAGAGACTATACTTTCAGAGGCTCGGGGCAGTCATGCCCTAGATAATCATCCAAACTCTTTTTGCTTCTTAAAAGTTCATCCCCATTAGTGAAAACTGCAATCATGTAGTCACTCAATTTGTTTCCAAAAAATTCACACAAGCTTCAAACAACCTCTACTTCTTCTCTTGAAAAACGAGTTTTGACTGAGAACACTACAAGAACAGCATGAATACCGTCCTTTGCCATGTTAATGCATTTAACAAGTTCCTTTCTGATTAATCATTGTCGGCAGAAGAATCGAACAGGCCTGCAACAAGTAGAAGTTCCAACTTCAAGTAAAACCCACTCTAATTGCAACCTCAAATGAATACAAATATTAATGACTTCATTAACACATATATATACCGGGAGTGTCGATGACTTTAATGACCTGCCCATCATAAAATGTGTGTTGGAGCTCGCATGTGGTGGTGACACCAGCTGGGCTAGACCTCGATTTGAACACTCCCTTCCCGATGATACTATTAGCAGTCGCACTTTTCCCGTTCCCGGTTTTTCCAACTAAGACTAAAGTTCTGTCATCATTGGAGCAAGAAGATGTGAACTCCCATTCGTTGTCGGAAGCTATACTTCCTCCCATTTTCTGAGATGCAAAGACATTGGTCAAATTAGTGGCTCCAAAAACAATAACAGCATAGTAAGGTCTCACAAGTGGGGGTTCAGGGAAGACGAGTTTACTAGACCTCAACCCTGTTTCTACAAGTAGAGAGACTAATTTTCAAAGCTATTTAGCTCGATGAAAAACAAGAACATAGTAAAACATTAAAAAACAGCCACAGAATAAGAATGATGTATTAAGAAAAATGTTATTTAACATAACAAAATATACAACACCAATTGACAATCATGTATAGATAGTCATTATGTGTGAGACAATTGTGGTATCAAACTTGATGGTGTGACTATAGCATGACGATTTGGGAAAATGCTACTCCATGGTTTAAAATACATTCGGGGTTTGACATCATTGATGACATCACTAAGTCTTTCACTAACAATGACTATCTTTGCGGGTACATAAAATGAATGTTTATGCATGCGCATGTCGGGGAAAGAAAGTGATGTCATGAATGGCGTCAAACTTGGTGTCACCGTACCAGGGTACTTTGATTTTTTCATCAACAAGGAAAACGAATAGGCGGTCTAGGGTTTCACAGGCAGAGAGTGCAAAAAACACAGGTTTACAACATCATCTTTGTCGTTAACCAATAAGAAACAAACAAACAAAAACCAAATTTAATCACTTAACTAATCATTAAGCTATGCTACATGATCTAATCTATCAACTACATTTTTCATACTTCAGATTCCTACTCTATGCGGAATTCAGACTTGGCATACTACTTCAATGTCAATAACATGGCGAGCAGAAATCAAAACATTTAGGTATAATATGAAAAATAATATAATCACAAACAAAAATGTGGAACTAAAAATAGACTGGAGAATTGGGGCTAACCATTGAGCTAAAGCAGAGATTTCGCTTCCAATAGAAAGAGACAAAGAATAATTAAAAAGGCCAAGGCGGAAGAACAAGAGGCGAGATTATATATATATATATATATATATATATATATATATATATATATTCCAGTGATATGACATGCTTCAGTCAGATGACGCAAAACTCACCAAAGACAATTACAAAGCTCACCAAACTCTTAGGCAAAACTCACCATATTTTTTCAATACTTTGAATTTTTTTTTGAAAAAAAATCAAAGGAAGGAGTGCTTACTAGACTTTGACCATTGACCGTTTACCATCACCGGCCACCACCTGCCACCGCCGGCCTCCGCCGCGCCGCCGCTGCTGACCGGTGGTTGACTGGTGTTACTATTTTATTTTTCATTATTTTTTTAATTTTCAAAATTAAAAAAAAGATGAGTTTTGGTGTTCAAAGTGATGAGCTTTGCTTTATTTCCAGGTGAGCTTTGCATTGGTCATTGGTGAGCTTTGCAGTGTAATGTGGTGAGCTTTGCGTAATCTCACCGACGCATGTTATCTCACCGTAAGGTGTCATCTCACTGGAGTCAATCCCATATATATATATATATATATATATATATATATATATATATATATATG